TAAAACGACCTTCGCCGAGTTCTTAGCTCACAGAACTCCAGCACTTCCAACATCCGGATCAGTTAAACTCATTTCTTGTAGGCAAAGGTATGGGGATTGTAATAATCTTTATTTATGAGCAAGGACGCTTTGTTTGAACCGGGATGTGTGCTTCCTGAATTTGAGAGTCAAAATAGGCGGAGATTACTATAACTGAAACATTGGGTTGCTTGTTTGCTACTGTAACTGACTTATTGGATTGTTTGTCTGTTATTATAACTGAATTATTGAACAACCCAATAATTCAGTTATATCAGCTGAAATTTGGGAGTTGCTTTTTTTGTGTCATAATAATATCTATTGATAATGGACCTTCTTCGACAGCCGGAGTACAACGAGATCACTCGTCATTAGTTCCGCCTCTGATGGTTTCGTACGTGCGCAGAGTATTAGGATGAGGGATGAGGAGAATCCCCTACAACAACAACTTGGCATTACGTACTTTGCAACAAAACGCAACGAAGATGTACACACTTAATCAGTCAACGAACTTTGTTCGGCTCATAGAAAAGCCGCTAGTGCCCTTTGAGGATGCTTTTTAGACCGACCACCCATGCCTATCGGACTGCTCCGCCTCTTGCTCCGCCCAGTCAAGGTGAGGCGCTGAATTGGGCGAAGAAAGTCACACGGTGAAAGCTGGAGATGGCTCATCTGCTGCGATTGGTGATCTGTACAATTTTGCTCACCTCCACCTTCGTTGACATCGTCCATTCTTCACCACAGCGACGATATTGCGGCAAGCAAATCACAAAGGCGTTGATCGCATTGTGCGGTGCTGTGAAGTCTCCTCTGCCAGGTGAATCACCTTTCTCTCTTTTACAAATTTTTTAGCCTCCTCCGTTAACTCCTGAAGAGATACTGAGACAAGCGTGCTTAGTTCGAATAGGGGTTGAAAATGACCGCAAAAGGGAAATGGAACACCAATGACCTGATTTGTTGATGTTTGAAAGCTGCAGTCGTTTCGCTGCCACTCGATAAGACTATCAATAGAAAAAACAGCAGAACAAATCTTTTTGGACACCAGGTGCAAGTGTAATGTCTACCAAAGATGTTCGATGACGCCAGCCGTCTGTGCGTTAAATATTTGCTGAGCAATTAGAAATGCGGTAGGAAAGTTGCCTTGCCCGAAGCGATCGCCATCAGAGTGTTACCTAATCCCACGAACAATGTTATGCCCTGTTCTGTAAAGGAAGCGTTATTTACTTAGTATCTGTACTAAAGCCCGCTGAACTATCGTGAAGAGAGAGCACTTTCAAACATGGCTCTGGTAGCAAGATGGGCTAATTATAGCTGTGAACTGTGTGACCTTTGGTTGGCGTAACAAGAGGGGCTGGCTCTCGTGAGCCTCTTCGCCCTATAATCTCTTTTCGAGGAGACAGAGAATTCGAAAAATGCACGCTACCAGCCGAACGGGGTGTCCACTCTAGCATTCGTTCGAATTCCTTTCCAATGAAACTCAGTTGTGTTGATAAGATGGGCCGGAAGGTCTCCTGGAAATACTTCCGGTCTCGAGTTTTCTTTCCAGTATAAAACAAATTCCATATTGGTTCCTTATGAATTTGGCTCCAGAAGAAAGTCTTTGCCACTACATTGGATCTAGCCGTCCTAAAGTAATCTGCTCGGTTTCACATCCATTGTTGAAATAGTAAACGTTGGTTAGCAGCTAGACTTAAAAGGGGTTTTATCTGGTAAGAGGGGGTATCGCAGTGGAATTTCTCTAGTTTCTTTGTATGTTGTATGTGTTCTTGTGCTGAGAGAATAATGAAGAATAATGTTCACCTAGTGAGCAGCTAGGACTAGACCTTGGAACGGGGAGGAAGTTCTGTGGGTAAAACGAAGATTGCTGACAGATATGGGACCTCCTCCTCCTGTGCGGCTTAGTCCCCAACAAGCACCACTCTCTGCAGTAAAAGAATATGCTTTTTGTGATTCTAGCGCGTTGAGCGCTCTGAATTGCAGTGCCCCCCCCCCCCTTACTGGTTAGACACAGAAAAGAAGTGGCACGGATTACTTGAACCTTGTCGCCTTGCTCAATCCAGTATGTTTCAGATCAGTTGGAAACAGGAAGACGAGCAGCCGGCGATCATTCAATCGTCCACGAATGCTGTCGAAAGACCTGTGACGAGGCTTTTATGCGCCGCTTTCTGTGCAGGTGTGTCCCGTGCTTTCACGTGCCTATCCAATGCGACTAGCGCCTTATACACTTTATCACAACCCATCGTTCGTTGACTTGCGATGATAAAGAAGATCGGAAAACTGGAACCTCAATAATCTGAGTAAAGTAATATGCTATTGCTCTCAGCGTTTCCTTTTTGAAGCACTGAATGGAGTGTATGGTGCTGAAATGTAGCATCTGTGCATTTTTGAGGTGGTTGAGGCGAATAAGCGGAGTGTCTACAATACCGCTACTAATTTTTGTTCAATCGACGGTTTGCGACGGTCGGAAACCGTCGCAAACCGTCGGCTCGCCATAACTCTTTAAAAAATGGTTCGCTCGACCTGCAGTTTATACCATCTGATAGCTCTGCTCGAGATCTACAAGATGGTTAAATTCAATTTCTGAAAGAGCTCCATCTAGGATTGCGCCATGCACTCGACCTCCATCCCGAGAAGTAATGAATATACTTTGTATGTGATGCGCATATAAGTCCTCCTATGCAGCCTGATCATCCCACAGAAACATGGATCTCAACACCCTCAGAATACGCCACGTACCCAACCGGTCCACCATATGGTGAGATTGAATGAATGTTTTTTTTTCGAATTTCACGATCTTTAATTCGTTCTAGAGCGCTAATTGGCTAACCGTGCGCTGATCAACCCATTCTTCCACTCCAAATGAGAATCTTCGAACAGTTTCCAGCAGTAGTAGTAGACCTATTATGTGACATTCCCCACATTTAGAGGAGATGATTTGCGGAAACCTGAGAAGATAGCCAGGAATCTCTCCACAGACGTAGACTCCAGTTACTTCTCTGTAAGATTGATGTAGAATATTTGGTCACGGGTAAGCGCTCCGTCCGTGGTGTGGCCCCAAACATCACTCTCCGTCATGCCCTAAAATGAAAATCAGAGTTTTTGCTCTTCCAGATGACTCTACAGAGCTGAGGGGTGCACCGTTCGATTTCCCATGAAAAATACTACCGAATGGTGTACAACTCAGGTTTCACACAAAACTTTGTTTTTCTCACTTTTTTGCTCCCCATTGCCGATCGTCCTCCCAGCCCTTGGCGCCACGTGCGATTTAGCGAGAAATTCTCTCCACCGACGTGGACTCCGGTCACTTGTCTGTAGGAAAGAGGTAGAATATTTGGTCACGGGTAAGCGCTCCGTCCGTGGTGTGGCCCCAAACATCACTCTCCGTCATGCCCTAAAATAAAAATCAGATTTTTTGCATTTCCAGATGAACTCGCAGACCTGAGATGTGCCCCATTGGATTCCCCGTGAAAAATGCTATCGAATGATATGCATTACTCCTCCCAGTTGAAACTTTGGTTTTTCACCGTTTTCAGCCTTCCCCTATTGCCGATTGGCATCATTATTCCACTATTACTGCCCCAAAATCTCAAAGTTTCATTTTTCGTCGAAACTTTGCCTATTGGGGTAATTCGATGCCCTGATTACGAATATGACATTCATTCTCGTAGTGGGGCCCCAAACATCACACCTCGCCCCATTTTTTGCGACAACTTCAACTTTTTTTGTTCCATGTTTAGAGCATGTTATGTAGAAAGCTGTGAAGGCAGCGACGAATTTCCTTTACTGGCGTAGACTACGGTTACTTGTCTGTAGGAATTACATAGAAACCTTGGTGGCAGGTGAGTCTTCCTTCCGTAGTGTGACCCCAAACATCACACCTCGTCATGCCCTTGCGATATGATCAGATTTTTTTGGTTCTCCAGATGAACATAGAAGACTGAGATGTGCACCATTCAATTCCCCATAAAAATACTGTCGAACGGTATACAACTCACTTTCTGGAGAACATCTAGTTTACCTGCCACTAGATCCATTTTGTGACATTTCCCAATTTTCGAAGGGATGTTTTGAGGAAATTCGAGAAGGGAGGGACGAACTCTCTTCCCTATCGTAGAGTAAGTTTACTTGTATGTTGGAAAAAGATGATACACTCGGGCTTGAGCGAGTGTTTCTTCCCTGGTGTGGCCTCAAACATCGCTCTCCGTCATGCCCTGAAATAAAAACCAGATTTTTTGGTCTTCCAGGTGGCTCTACGGATCTGTGGTGTACACCGTTCGATTCTCCATGCAAAATGCTATCGAACGATATACATCTCAGTTCCCACTTAAAACTTTCGTTTTTCATCGCCTTTTCCTTATCGCCGATCGCCTTCCTCAGCCCTGGCCACCCACGTGCTATTCACGTGCGCGGTGCGTGAGAGCTCACGTGACAGCCGATGGCCTTTCTCGGTAGCTGGCGGGCAGCCCGATCGATACACCGCTATGCGTGTCGAAAGTGCGTGGGAAAGTCACCACGCACCGCGCACGTGAATAGCACGTGGGTGGCCAGGGCTGAGGAAGGCGATCGGCGATAAGGAAAAGGCCGAAAACGGTGAAAAACGAAAGTTTCAAGTGGGAACTGAGATGTATATCGTTCGATAGCATTTTGCATGGAGAATCGAATGGTGTACACCACAGCTCCGTAGAGCCACCTGGAAGACCAAAAAATCTGGGTTTTTATTTCAGGGCATGACGGAGAGCGATGTTTGAGGCCACACCAGGGAAGAAACACTCGCTCAAGCCCGAGTGTATCATCTTTTTCCAACATACAAGTAAACTTACTCTACGATAGGGAAGAGAGTTCGTCCCTCCCTTCTCGAATTTCCTCAAAACATCCCTTCGAAAATTGCGAAATGTCACAAAATGGATCTAGTGGCAGGTAAACTAGATGTTCTCCAAAAAGTGAGTTGTATACCGTTCGACAGTATTTGTTATGGGGAATTGAATGGTGCACATCTCAGTCTTCTATGTTCATCTGGAGAACCAAAAAAATCTGATCATATCGCAAGGGCATGACGAGGTGTGATGTTTGGGGTCACACTACGGAAGGAAGACTCACCTGCCACCAAGGTTTCTATGTAATTCCTACAGACAAGTAACCGTAGTCTACGCCAGTAAAGGAAATTCGTCGCTGCCTTCACAGCTTTCTACATAACATCTGCTCTAAACATGGAACAAAAAAAAGTTGAAGTTGTCGCAAAAAATGGGGCGAGGTGTGATGTTTGGGGCCCCACTACGAGAATGAATGTCATATTCGTAATCAGGGCATCGAATTACCCCAATAGGCAAAGTTTCGACGAAAAATGAAACTTTGAGATTTTGGGATAGTAATAGTGGAATAATGATGCCAATTGGCAATAGGGGAAGGCTGAAAACGGTGAAAAACCAAAGTTTCAACTGGGAGGAGTAATGTATATCATTCGATAGCATTTTTCACGGGGAATCCAATGGGGCACATCTCAGGTCTGCGAGTTCATCTGGAAATGCAAAAAATCTGATTTTTATTTTAGGGCATGACGGAGAGTGATGTTTGGGGCCACACCACGGACGGAGCGCTTACCCGTGACCAAATATTCTACCTCTTTCCTACAGACAAGTGACCGGAGTCCACGTCGGTGGAGAGAATTTCTCGCTAAATCGCACGTGGCGCCAAGGGCTGGGAGGACGATCGGCAATGGGGAGCAAAAAAGTGAGAAAAACAAAGTTTTGTGTGAAACCTGAGTTGTACACCATTCGGTAGTATTTTTCATGGGAAATCGAACGGTGCACCCCTCAGCTCTGTAGAGTCATCTGGAAGAGCAAAAAATCTGATTTTCATTTTAGGGCATGACGGAGAGTGATGTTTGGGGCCACACCACGGACGGAGCGCTTACCCGTGACCAAATATTCTACATCAATCTTACAGAGAAGTAACTGGAGTCTACGTCTGTGGAGAGATTCCTGGCTATCTTCTCAGGTTTCCGCAAATCATCTCCTCTAAATGTGGGGAATGTCACATAATAGGTCTACTACTACTGCTGGAAACTGTTCGAAGATTCTCATTTGGAGTGGAAGAATGGGTTGATCAGCGCACGGTTAGCCAATTAGCGCTCTAGAACGAATTAAAGATCGTGAAATTCGAAAAAAAAACATTCATTCAATCTCACCATATGGTGGACCGGTTGGGTACGTGGCGTATTCTGAGGGTGTTGAGATCCATGTTTCTGTGGGATGATCAGGCTGCATAGGAGGACTTATATGCGCATCACATACAAAGTATATTCATTACTTCTCGGGATGGAGGTCGAGTGCATGGCGCAATCCTAGATGGAGCTCTTTCAGAAATTGAATTTAACCATCTTGTAGATCTCGAGCAGAGCTATCAGATGGTATAAACTGCAGGTCGAGCGAACCATTTTTTAAAGAGTTATGGCGAGCCGACGGTTTGCGACGGTTTCCGACCGTCGCAAACCGTCGATTGAACAAAAATTAGTAGCGGTATTGTATCTGAGTGCAACTCATTTTGTCTATGGGAATGATTACTAAATAGATCAAAAAAGGACAAAAATAAACAAATAAATATAAATATAACCATAAATATAAATATAAATAAGTATGATAGGTACAAGTGATGAATAAAAGAAATCAATTGAATTAAAAAAGAAGATCGTTTGAAAGTGTAGCTGGCTTGTACGCCAGCAAAAGGAAGCCGATTTGTTCAGAGACCTTCACTGGCTGCATAATTTCAGAAAGCATTTACAAGATCATAAAACTTTTAAATTTATGCTAAAAGGATAAAGCATTTGCCGTTGATCAATCCCTTTTTGGGATGCGGCACGCATTCTACTTCCATTTGTACATTCGTAGTGGCGTTTGAATGCGATGTGGCCTATACAATGACTTGCGGGGGCCAGCCGATGTACAAGTCAGTGTTTTTATCCTCCCAGACAAGTCTGGTACCAATTAACCGACCCCGGAGGGATGGAAGGCTTGGTTGGCCCGGGCGACTCACGACCCAGGATTTGATCCCCGGACCGCTCGCGTGGTAAGCGTGCCACTTGCCACTACACCACTTCCGCCCCTAACAGATCATAATTACATCAAAACTAGTAGACCGAAACTGCCGAACGTTGATTCGAACATGATATGCGACTAGTTAAGTGAAGTATAATTTCAGTGATGTGGCAACAGCGAAATTCGTCCTCGAAGACTCTCTCGCTCTCATTGAAATCGTCGAGTTCGATCCTTACGACTGGTCAATGCATATCAATTCATGTCGATACATATCAATTTATGTCGATGCATATCAAGTTGATTTCTCTCCATTTCCGCTGTACACGATTCCTATGTGATTTTCTTAAGTCTTTCAGTTAGCCATTAGTCATTTTTCTTCCCATCATCCTTATGCCTGTCTTCAATCTCATCTGCTTGTGTTAGTGGTTGTGTACGGTTGCTGGATCTCATCAGAGTTTGGACTCACACAGCTTTTTTTTCGCCCAGGGTCGCTTAGTGTTGAAATTTGGCTCCCAACCTCGGTCGAGAAGCTCTTACATGTCAGGTGGTCGTTTAGAGTAGCTCCATTCTTCTCAAAAATCCAGTAAGAATTCTCCACCCACGGGTGATTTGTTCATAGAGGTCACATTTTACAGAAGTGAAGCATTCACGGGTGAACTGTTCTAAATATCTAGTTCCGCTATAAATAAAGCACTTTTAGACCGATCCAAATGTAAAAAGTTTGCGACCATGGAATAAATGTGTGATATGTGCGTTGCATTCGATGTCAAGACACTTCCGGGTCTATAGACTACTAGGTACTTTCAGATCTGTCCTAAGGCGCCGGTCGCGATCGAACTGGGATGTCATTCCGCTCGAAATTAAAATATGAGCTGCAACGAAGTCCATCATGGGGAAGAAAAAAGCAAGAGGAACCATAGAAAAACCGAAATTATAGGACCTTGTAGGGTCTTGTGGTACGACCAGGAGCCGCGGCAAGAAAAGGCAGGAAAGCCGCGAAAGAGCACGTTGTGCGAGAGGGTGCAGACAACACGTACGCCACGAATGCGCAAAAAATCGCAGTCAAGAAAAGGCTTTGTAGTGCTGTCGCGCACTTTCGAGTGCCAAGACTCTTGGGCTTGTGCCTGCTATATCACTCGCGAAGAGCATCGCTTTGAAGATCTAATTGTGACCTCTGCCTCCGCATAAAGTATTCTAGAACCACTTCAACAACGACACAAAGTTAATAACTAGAAAGAACAGCTAGGGTGCGCTGATTCTGCAAAACTTTCTTGCGAATCTTTCGAATTTTAGATATATCGAATAATTACAAAATGGTGTGGTTCAAAACCTTTACGTGTACGTGAAGGTTGTTTATAGAATGCTAGGGTTTCTGAACTGTTCTGACCAAATGTCAAGAAAGATGAAAAGTGGTGATTATTTTCATAGAGGTCCAATGAGTTGAGAAGAGTACGGCGTTACGTTAAAGGAATCTTCCGCGGAAAAAGCTCCGCCTCCATTACCACAGAAAAACGATACCCCTTAGGCCCCTAGCCTCATGAGCATAGCAAAAAGAACGGAACATAAGCGTTAGTTTCGATAATACTAATCCTACACAAAATGATCACTCTTTCCGTGGAAGATTCCTTTAAGGTATCGTTTTCTGTGGTAATGAGGGCGGAGCTTTTTCCGTGGAAGGATTCCTTTAAGATTGTTTCGTGCGACGATGAAGAACATGAGCAATTCTTTATTTTGACAAACTCTCCCGGGAATTCACGCGTTCTCTCCCTTCGGCCATCGAATCGAGTCAACGCAGAGCACGGTACAATCTGATCAGATAGAATTGTTTCATTGCCTCCACACTCTCTTAATAATAATTGCAAGAAAAGATTGAACTACGTGGAGGAGGCTTTAAATATTTTTGAGGAAGATGTGAGTGGGTAGTCACGTACTTCAAGCCGCTTATTTGTAGACAAATAACACCTGGCACAAATTTGATCTGTTGTATTTTGTGCACAAAGCGGATAGTCTGATGTAATGTTGCTGGAAATTGATATAGAATCTGAAATGCTAAGCCTTCTCGCATACGAAATGAGCTCCGAGAAAGTGTGAGCGGTCGACACATTTTGGTACATCCGGAGATTGATTATGTATGCCTTTGCTGTTCTACAGCACCTGCCGGCCGGCCATACGTGGCACATCTCACCAGGAAGGTCTTTCAGGACATGGAGCCCTTTTTGAAAACGGTTTTTTGCATGATAAAGGGGCACATGCATGGAGTACAAAACTAGGCTCCATTTTTTCTGAGCGGCCCTCCTGAATGCCAAAAAAGGTATGAAAAATCGGTCGAGGGATCGGTCCCGGCTGATGACAAAATTTTGCATTTCATGTTAGCGCATGTTAAATGACTCCAAATGTTACCGCCGATAAAAATAGGTACTGTTCTTACAATCAGGGTCATCATCAACCTTTCTGATTAGCTTTCTGCCCAGAATTGGGGCGAAAATTGTATGGCGCTAAAGCGGCGCCGAGTTGGTGCCCGAGGAGGCTAAATGGCGCAATATCGCGCCTCCATCAAAAATGGACGTCAGATTCGTAATCAGCGCCTATAATTACCCTTATAGCCGCAGTTTTAGAGAAGATCAAGATTTCGGCCCGAATTCAAAAATTGGGCCATGGGTTAGCCCATAGTCAGTACGGCATGCACGCTTCCCACTTGGAGACAGCTTCGAGATGATAGCAAGCGGCACGTTTGGTTGATAGTTACACTTCCACCGCAGTTCCTGCCCATGGGGCAATCTGGCATCACCCCTTGATCTCGTCGATGCATGGCGTATGCCTGGGTGGGCACTGGCTACGTCGACGAGCATCCTGGACGTTCCTCAACGCCGGCAATCTGCCTTCAAGGGAAATGGAGTAGGTGTTCCTTGCGAAGAAAATGACAACTTCACTTTTCTGGCGTTCGTTAGATGCAGTTGGTGTGATCCGCGCCTGTGATTCAGATGCTTCATTGAGTTTTACCATAACTGCTAGTTATTTATTGCTTGTAAACGGAAACACAACTGAAAAAACATGGTACTACGAAACAAAATTA